CACACATACCCCCAAGGTCAATTAAATAGATGACTTTCATGTGAGCTAGGTTGCGTGACTCTCGAGCATTAAATTACAAAGGGCTGACAGGATTTCCGTTTGAATGGTTAGTGGAAGAAAATCATCCCAGGACACATTTTTCTTATTGTTTTTGGAATTTGTTTCGAAATCATCAAAAAATGTAAAATATGTCTTGTATAAAATGGCTATGTTTGCACACAGACATGACACAGTGAAGGGCACCTGCCTGCATTTTGAATGCGGGTCAGCTCTCTCAAGTTGAGCATTAAGTTTCAGAGCTCCTCGTTCATAAACAATTAAGTGATCTGTAATATCCTGGCTGCTTGCAAGCTAAGGTAACAACAAGGTATGTACGACGTTTGTATGGACAGTGGTAGTGTAATGTTAAATGTTTGTCACAGGACTGTGGGGAAGGGTCTCTGTGAAATGCCAATTGCTGAAGCCTCTCTTATGGTGCATTACACAGTCTGACATGCACTAAGGTTGCATGGCAAACACATTTAAAACACCTTGTATTACCCAATTGTGGAGGTAGAGTGTTAACCATTTTTACAACTTCAATTTTTATGATATTTTGGCCATGTGATGAACTTGGAGTCCAGCGTGAGCCCTCACCCCATTCACTACATAGGAACTATATATAGGCCTCTTCATTCCCAGCAGCGCTTATCCAGCGCAAGATACTTTGTTGTAAGTACTTGGCCTATTTCTTCCAGAAAAGTGTGCGGTTGGCTAGCTAACTAAGTGTCCATCCCAAAAATGCTTCTTCTCTGATGCCACAATTTACAGAAGAGCTCAATGTCCTCATGTAAATTGCATTTCGTGTCATTCTGGCCTACGCTGTAGCATATATTGGAATGCAAAGCATTCTGGGCTATGTAATTAGCGCAAAGTCATGTGGTGTGACCCACAGGCTGAATGGCGTGCGCCACCGTGTTTTGATGAACCGTGAACTGTGCCTGAACCGTTCGTGTTATGTGGACCCACAAAGTGGCACAACAACAAGCAAGGAGGTGGACGAGCATCTTGCCCATCTGCCAGCCTAGTTGTTCCCCGGTTAGCTTGCGAGCTAGCTAGTGGCTACCCGTGGAAAGCCCCGCGACTATCCATCAGAAGCTCTTCGTGGGTACATTTTGCAGGGAAGTATGGGTATCAAAAAGTTGCGTGGCACTCAAATGACACTCGCCACTTGAGCAAGGCGCGGTTTCAGCACATTCAGCGGATACTCCCACAGTGTTACAAAGTGAAGACAATGGCTTGATTTTATTATTTGAAATGGGCAGGATCAACATCAATCTGATCTGTGCTATAAAATGAATTGATGAGCTCTATTTTCACTTGGCTTGACTTCAAAATGTTTCAGTGCGGAAATATTTAGTTTTTCTGTTTTCCACAATATAGTTACACTTTGTGTGTTCAATGCTGAATATGCTGGTGGTAGCGCCCTCCACAACATAACCTTATAATGCCAATGTTGGGATTTCCGAGAACCCATGTCAGATAATTTTACACTTGAGGCATCTTCTCCTTTTTTTTTTTACTCTCCACAAACAACAGACATTCTTTTGGTTCAAACTGAACCCCCCTCGACTTTACCAACAAACCAACAACATATGATACGTAACTTTAATTTCCTGGTATGGATTAAGGATGCACACACGGCAGACTACTATAAAGCATCTGGATTGAGTTAGCTCTGTTTGTTGCCCTCCACACTGCCACCCCCCTCCCCCCACCTCTAGTGAATATTTTTGTCTTTTTGGAGTTGAGGCCAACTATCAGGAAGGAAGGTCACTTGTCAGTCTTTAATAGGCGCTATCAGTGTTTTCTGGAGATCATGCAGTTAAATTCTCGCTATAAGCAAACATAGGGTAATTATAGCAAATCCTGAGATAATCCACTGCGTAGCTGATGACAGTGACAAAAATGGACTTCTGTGAGTGTTGCTTCGAGGAGTTTAGCCTTTGGATGACCTGGTTTATACACGAGGGGGCATTCAGCTGCGCTATGAACGTGACCAGATGTGACGGTTTGCTCTAGCACTGTTCCATGGATCCTTTATCAATAGTCCTCCGAACTTGAATTCAAATCCCATTTTATGGATTCAGAATTTGGCAGGATTTGGGTGCGTAATGTGTACTCAATTTAGATTCTAATCTACTCAAGCTTCCCCCTCAATCGACTTGCTCTGCAACCGCTGTTAAGCATTGCAAGCAGCCTGCTCATATTTACCATGTAAAGGCTGTCAAACACTGGCTCAAAGCATGGGACAAGTGAGAGGGCTCAATTTTGACCAAAACAGAGTGAGGAAAAAAACTCTCCAAAAGAACATCTGTTTGACACCACCCTGCAGCTGGAAACCTCCAAACCTGTGTGGAAAAGAGAAGATTGTGATTTTGGAAGGCTCCGGAATGGAAAGCTTTCATGATGGCATGTTCATCAGAAGTGATGTCATGAAACTGTGGATGTAGTTTCCTTTTGCATAGCTCCAAAATGATCTCATGGAACATAAAGATATGAGTGCTCTACGGCCTGTCATGACAAAGCATGCAGCAACCTCTACAAGGCAATTGAGGCGTTGAAATCGGCATTTGCTTTCTTACCACAAATATCTCCTAATCTCCTTTTAATGCCATAATCTGGTCGGGGGCTTTACCGTGGTGCTGAATTTGGCCCTACGTCCAGAGGAATTTGGAGAAGGGCCTAATGGTCTCCCCTCATTGGGGGTGTGGGGGAGTAACCCACCCAAATTTAGGGCGTCTTATTCGGACAACACCCAGGGTGAATACCACAGGCATGGCGTAGGCTGATCGAAAACATCTGTTTGTGTGTGTGTGTTTGTGTGTGTGTGTGTGTGTGTGTGTGTGTGTGTGTGTGTGTGTGTGTGTGTGTGTGTACATATCAGTGTTAACAGGTTCACAAACATCCATAGAATAGGAAAGAAATACATCACAGAAACAAGAACAAATGTAAAGTACAGTAAACCGGGGAAAGTCCGAGTCAGCGGACGTGTCACTTCATGACGTTTTCTTTGTATTTCCTGCCTTGGGCCTGTGACAAAGGGTGTGCCATGCCTGAGCTTAAGCATGACCAAAAGTAACAGCTGTGTGGGAAAGAACCAAAATGGACAAGCTGCAGTATCGGCTTCCTACCTCAACGACACAACATCTTCAAGCCATGGCCTCCCATCTCTTTCATGTCAAATTTCAATGCATAAAAACAGTTTTTCATTACGTTTGGCATGTGCGGCCGGAAATGAAACTATTTTATTTGCACCTGCAAGTGCTTTGCTCTGGTTTGTGTGATCTCCACATGGTTAGCGTTGCGGTTTCACTTGACACCCGCTTCACCACATTTAAACACACTGAGCCTAAAGTAAAACACTTTAAAGTTGACCTTTTTAATGACAGCAGAAAAGATGTCTCACCACTGTATTTCATGTATTCCAACCTCCCCCGCCACCCCACTTTGCCCCGCAGATGAAACACAGTCTCTGTTAAACGGGACCCCGCTTGCTGCCGGACCGCTCCCCCCTCAGAGCAGCCCACCTCACCCACCCGCAGAGCCGCCCTCCATATGTCCCGCCGCTCCCACGGGCTCCACTTCTTCCTCTTTACCAGGCATCCTCAACTCAGAGCCGCCCCTGATCTCAGCATCTACCGGGCCGCCGGCCTCCGGCAGCCCGCCCAGTCCGGAGACGGAAGAGGCCAAGGCAAAGAAGCTGCTGTACTGCTCCTTGTGCAAGGTGGCTGTCAATTCCTTGTCGCAACTGGAGGCTCACAACAAAGGTGGGTGTTGTATTCAAAAAGCATATGTACAAAAGTCTTGAAATACATCCTAGCAGGCAATTTGATTGGGGTAACGGTCAGAACATTAGGATGACCGCGTCAAAGGTTCCAGAAGGAGGCACGGATCATTAGATATGCTACCTCTGTGTAACTAAAACCTCCGTATCTTCTAACATCCCATGTTACCGTCTCCCACATGAAAGACGACTGATACCCAAGCAGGCTTGTGTGGCACTCTGGTGTGCCGTGACAGATCACCAAGTGGCTCTGGCAAATAATCCAATTTCACCTACACTGAAAAAAATGTTTGCTGAATTGACTCCATTCTATTTTGGCACAAAAAACAAAACATCAGGATTCTGATCAATTTCTTAGTAGATGTTTAGTCGACTTAAAAAATGTTTCTGCATTCAGATGGTTTGATTTCATGCAACCATCCGACAGAATAAAATGGAGTCAGTCCAGCGCAACCTTTTTTTTCCTGTGTAATTTGTTCGAAAAGCAATGTGTTTTTAAATCACGAATACATCTTTGTTCATCTAGCTATGATAGCGACATTTATTGAAAGGCCCAACAAAGATATGCTCTTCGCTTGCTTAGATGGTACAAGGTGCAATAAAGGTGTAGCCCCCCCTGCTGACATTCACACGCCAGAAGATGTCACGCTACCCTGCAAATATGTTCAGCTCAACAGGCGGCCCACGTTTCACAATGACTAAATCAATTTGTGAGTAAATTGAGGCACTCATCAATATTTTACATCATCAATATATATAAATATTTTCTTTTGTGTTTGCTGGTGTGCCTGTGATCTTGTTTAAAACGGGCGGCTTGCCTCCCTAAATATTGAGAAACACTATGACAGACGATTGCAGACGAGTGAGAATGCTTTCTCTCGTCGTTGGCTACATGCAGCTTGCCTTCCAGTGTGCTAAAGATGTTTGTTTATGTGTAAGAAAAACACAGAGCTTGTCTCAGTGTCACTTTCTCAGCCTCTGCTGGTTTTAATCCTTCTTGCCCTCCCTGTGACCCTTTTTTTTCCTCCGAGGCAACACTTTGTATCTGTTTGTATCTGATCTGCCCCTTAGTACTACGCAACATATGCACCGTGTGCTCGTGTTTTTCCTTAGCTTTCACATGTATTGACAATCCGAATGCACAGCATGTGTAACTAGAAGTAAGAGGCCGCCACTTTTTTCTTTTTGGGGGGGTGGGGTGGGGGGGTAGCACAGCTGCAGGCATTCATTGGGGTTATATTTCATCCAGGTTTTGGAGAGGCAGGTTTCTTGATTTTTACATTTCACTGCAATTTGTGGTTCAGTTGTTTTAGCCCTTGTTTTAGTCGGTTACGGATTAGAAGTTTATCCTATGATGACATACGCAACAAAGAAAAGCCTTGTAACACACCAAATATTTGCAAGTACAGGGATTTAGATTAAACAATTGATTTGAGTGACGTGGTTCTGCCAGCACTTGCTAATGCAAGTATCAAAAGAAACACTTCTCCAAAAATGATTCCTGCTCATCAAGTCCAGCCCCCTCCAAATGAGTTGGAATGTTCTGGAATCAATGACATGCGCTCATTTCCCCAAAACAAAACTGCACGTTTGCGGGATCCAAAAATGAAGACGTGTGCAGCACTGCCACAGAGCGAGTGCACAGAAGAGACGGAAGAAAGTGTGTGTAATGTTGTCAAACATTTCGCCAAACACAGCGGCTACGTTTTTATTGACAGAAGTGTGCTTGTGGGTATGTTGGTGTCCACATCTGAGGCAAGCTCACAGGAGACAACAAATCCGCTTGCACTATCCATTTTCTGACCAAAATAGAAGAAGAAAGGCGAGAAGGGACAGCCCAAGAGAACATTTCTGGCCTTGAGTGAAAGCAGCCGTCCTCCTTCTCAGTGGAGCCTCCACGCACCTCACCCTTAACCCTAAGCCCTAAGCCCTCCATCATTCTGAAACTTTAACTCAGTTCAAAGGGCTTTGGGAGAGTCAAGTCTGAGTCTGAGCCAGTGGCTTTCCTTCGGGGGTAGGGAGGCATAGCACGGAGGGGGGTGGGGATGTAAGCTGTTGATGTGCGAGTATGACCCCCAACATGATCAAATGATTGACACTGACACACTTGAAACAGGCAATGACATCACACTTCATATATTCCCAGGAGCAGCATTGCATTAAAATACAAAGGCAATGCCTCGTTTTTATCTCTCCGATATGCTGCATACGCCATTTTTATACAAAAGCATCATTTGATTGCTTTGACTTGTATGTCAAAGTTGTAGTCTCTGTAGAGTGAAAATAAATGTCTTGTAGATTTGGTTAACATACATTGTATTTAGAAACATCCATCCATCCATCCAATATCTGAACCGCTTCTCCTCATGTGGGTTGCGAGGGGGCATGCTGGAGCTATCCCGACTGACTTTGAGCAGCTTTTGGGGTTCACCATGAACTGGTTGACAACCAATCGCAGGGCACACATAGACTAACAATCATTCACACTAACAGTCACAATTTGGAGTGTTCCATTAACCTTTTGGAAAGCGGGAGGAAACCGCAGTACCCCGAGAAAACCCACACAGGAATGAGGAGAGCATGCAACCTCCACACAGGAAGGTTGGGGCCCGAAATCGAATCTAGTGCAGCGAATGTGCAAACCAGTCGACCACCGTGCCATCCTTTTTACATTGAGACAAATTTGCTGAATTCCTTTCATAGGGTCTTTAATCTGTAATTACAGCCTCGTGTTGACTGCATTGTTTTAATTTGCCTTTTTTATGCCGCCAGATAGATAAGTTGTGGAATTGGTCACTATCCTATTGTCACACACATACATATCATATCATACAGCACCATAATCACTTGGTGTTGTATTGCGGACTAGCAAAGCCGTAGGCCTTCGTACAGACTTCAAAGCCCAAAGTCAGATGCCATAAAATGCAATTGTAGGACTCTTCCTTCGGAAATGGATCCACAAATAACATGCATGTAGGCACACGTGGGACACATGTGACACTCGGTATACATTAACCTCCACCCATCTCCACCCAATGGGACATCAATCAACAATTGCAATAAAAACGACACATGAATCATAAACTGGAGTTCATCTTTTGGGGCTCACCTGCCACGCAGATGTATGACCAAAGCCTTCTTTCGTGAACAGTAACATTTGGTACTGCAACACTGTATGAGCTAAAGAGAAATAGTGGGCACACATTTCCCTTCATTCAGGCCACTTGAGAGCATTATAAAGAAGCATTTAGAAGCAGTTAACAGCAGTAGTGACGTGCAGACGCGTGTGTTTGTGTGTGTGTGTGTGTGTGTGTGTGTGTGTGTGTGTGTGCGCGCGCACGCGCGCGTGTGTTTCAGGTGGCTCATTAGTGTGATGCAAGCATCAGGTTTCTCTCGCAGGTACCAAACACAAAACAATTTTGGAGGCTCGGAGTGGGCTGGGCCCCATCAAGGCATATCCACGCCTGGGTCCCAAGCCCAGTGGGGAGCAGGGAGGTGGCCCGGTGGACCCCAACACTCAGGAAAGAACCTTCCACTGTGAGATCTGCAATGTGCGGGTCAATTCTGAACTGCAACTCAAACAGGTAGGTGGAAGAGGTTGCACTCTACGTTTCTTTAAACGTATACAGTACGGACAAAAGTATTGTCACTCTACACAGAGATGGTCACAACAAAGCTCAGTGAATTGCACTAATAGTAATTTTTTTACAGAGGATGACACAAATATTCCTTGAGTACAATTGTATCGTTGGTCTGCATATGTTGCAACTTGTTCCACTAGTTGTGTTTGAATATCTCTTCTTTGTAGGCTGAAAACAGTGCGGCATTGATGCTACTTTTTAGCCTGTCTAAGGCATTTGTTAGCATTAAGCCAAGTGGACTTTCCATCCATCCATCCATCCATTTTCTGAACCACTATATCCTCACAAGGGTCACGGGGCATACTGGAGCCTATCCCAGTTGTCTTCGTGCAGTAGGCGGGGGAGACCCTGAACCCGTTGCCAACCAATCGCAGGGCGCACAGAGACGAACAACCATCCGCGCTCACACTCACACCTAGGGACAATTTAGAGTGTTCAATCAGCCTGCCGTGCATGTTTTTGGAATGTGGGAAGAAACTGGAGTACCCGGAGAAAACCCACGCAGGCACGAGGAGAACATGCATACTGTGGACTTTCCTAAGTGGTTTCATTTGCTTTGTTTTATGTTTAGTTTAGCAATAACCTGGGTGAGGAAATAAATGGCTTGAAGCCTCTTTTTCAAGAATTGTTCCATTGAATTGTTCAACAAAGCAAAGAATTGTCCGAACGAAGGCTTGAAGCTTGAGAAACTCCGAAGTCACGTCACTCTAATCTCAATTAGACACCGCACAATTATTCAGAGTGTGAATGAATTTCATGCGTCACTCTAATCTCAACGCACCGCACAATTATTCAGAGTGTGAATGAATTTCATGCAACAGTCCAAGTAAATGAGAGTCATGTCACATGTGTGTTTTTGCTGCATGTGCACTTGTTTCAGCACATATCAAGTCGAAGGCACCGAGACGGCATGGCGGGCAAGCCAAACCCCCTCCTCAGCCGGCACAAGAAGCACAGGGGAGCCGATCTGACGGTAACCTCTCAAAACGTCTTTCTCTTCCTGTGGTGCACTTTGCACATTTGGAGGCCCCAAACGTGACAGTGTTGAACTGCAAGGTCGCCAAACTCATTTTGTTGAGTCTCAGGCTTAGTTGAACTGTAACTCCTCCAAAAGGCAGCTTTGATGTTCATAGTCTGGAACTAATCATTGTTATCTTTCTCTCGTCTCTCTCTTGCCCCACAACCGTGGCTACCGTGTGGTCTTTAGTCTTCTCTGACATTCACCAAGGGTCTCACCAAAGCGTTGGGGGCTGGCCTGCTCCCCAGCCCCTTAGCAGTCGCCGCGGCCATGGCCGCGGCCGCTTCCACAAACCCGCTGGCTCTCCGCGCAGCGGCTCCGGCGCCGCACCCGCATCACCACCTTTTGCAAGGACCGACCCTCAGCCACGCCATCTTGAGACCGGCCCCGGGGCCCATCCGCACCACCCACGGGCCCATCCTCTTCTCCCCGTACTGACACGTTACCCGCTGATCGGGATCAGCCACTCCAAAAGCACACTGTGAAGACACAAACATGATCCACAGACAACACCTGATCCAAATTATTTAAATATGTACTGAGAGAAAAACTTGAGGGAGGAGCAATCTCTCATATTTCCCTTTACCTGAAACCTTTGCTCCATTTCTGAGACTTACGTGTGAGCTGCAGATGGAAGAGGTACATAATTATTCCTGATGCATTGAACTTCCTGCTACATCCCGAACCTTCCCAGTTCGCCTACTTTGCTCCCTTGCACTTTGTCCCAATCAGCCACGGTTGACCGAATAGCTACAAAAGAAACACGTGTACACCACCAAAACCACACCGGGTTGTTTCTCTCCTCTCACCATGACAAAATGTCCTCTTCACATCTTACTTAAAAATAATGTGGTTTTTATTGATCGCTTTGCTGAAATAGTCAACGTTTGGTGTGCTCCACATCGAGTAGAACGGTGGTAGCTAGTCATAATGCAAACGCCCCCCGCAGCCCCTCTTTTTGTAACAGCAACCACATGCAATGCAATGTCTGCTCAAAAGCAGGCGTGAGCTCCCTTGTCATACCACGAGAAGCTGAAGAGAGAGAAGTGTTTGCACAGATTTTTGATTGACCTTGGACACATCTGTATTTCGAAAATAGATTGCACCAGCAAAAACATTTCCACCGGGCTGACCTCACAGAGGGTAGAAACAGTTCGGGATGTACAGTGGAACCTCTAAATTGGAACATAATCAGTACAACATAATCAGTACAATTTGTTCTTCCAAATTGTTCACATTCTTCAAAAAGATAAACAACATATTCACAGCTCACAAAAAGGAGGCATTTGGGGCTATACAATAAGTTACTGTGCATTTTAGGTTCACCCTGAAATTTGCCCCGTAAGCCCAGTATCTACCCAAACGACAACTAACTTTTAGTGAGTAGTGTATGTGTTGAGACAAACCTTCATTAACTCCACAGGTGATTTAAATTGTTTCATTTGAACATTCCTTACTGCATGTCGTACAAGTGTAAAGAGAAGGTAACCACAGTGTAATCAAGCTAGAATAGAAGAAACGTCCTCATTGTTTGCTGCCGACAGCCAGTAATGAAGAGGGAACAGTAAGTTGTCTCTGTGGCTATACCGCCACCTACTGGTCATCTTTAGTACTGATTGAGTCAGTAGGCACCAGTGGCTGCTTCCGCTGAGGTTGAGTGCACTTCTGGCAAAGTAAAAATGTGCCAAATTTGCTGACTGGCTTCTCTGGTTATATTCATTGCGTTATATTTTCGGCTACATGCTAATTAACATTTGCTTAGTAAAGTAAAAATGCACCTCCAGATGTACTTTAACCGGTATGAGCATGAACTGTGGTGCTCATATAGTACACAGCAGCCAGACGCAATTAGTTTCATTTCTGTTCCGAGGAGTACTTTTTTCTTTTGCCATCGCTGGTATTAATCTAAACCATTAAAACACAAAATGAGTGCAGCTATAGCAATATGGTTGGCATTTCGTCCCACACGATGATGGTTTGAACCCCCGAGTTTTGCATTTGGAGGCATATTTTTCCTGAATTGAACCCCAAATAGTTTTTCATTTGGGGATGTTTGACTTTCGAGGTTCTGCTGTACTGTAACTGCTATACTTCCACCATGAACTCTTGGTGAGAGCTCATAAAGTGCTTTCAAGAAGAGATGTCTCACTCATCAAGCCATGTCTTAACACTGTGGCTGGTGAGGTTGATTCCTGTGCGCTTATGTAACCAAGCTGCATCTGCTAACAGCCTTACGTTTGGGTCCTGCGAAGTTAATCTGAACCGCGTTCATTTTTTCCAACTTTCTTCCCTACCTCACCCGCCCTTTTATACATAAAAGCAAACACATTAATATTGAAAATCTGAGATTTAAAATAAAGTCATAGAGACCAGATGAAAGCCAAATACATGCCTCGCGCAATGATCTTGAATAGGAATGACAGTTGAACCAGAACCGCAGCGAGGTCAAATGCAACAAGGTCACTTGTTTTCTTCCAGAAGCTGAAAGCCATGAAATGCCCCACGATTGGTTTTCCTCCACAAAGACTGGGGGGCACTTTGTTCAGTTCACGCCGTTTGCTTTGACTTCAACCCATGTATTAATATGAGCAACGGTAGCAAAGAAAAGCAACGCTATGACACAATCCGGAAAGATTTAAGGCCCTGGAATGAGGGGCGGGAGGCGTTCTGAAGTGCTAACCCAAAAGCGAGCAATGCCGCAACTCAGCTATCGAGATGTACACTGTGCCCTTTCATTGAGAAGCAATGAATTCTAATGTCTTACCTTTTTTGTCTCACTTGCAATTCAATGAGCATATTTTTGTTGTTGTTTTTTTATTGTTAGCTTTGTGACATTTTGTTTGGAGTCATACATGTCAATTGGGAACACGCAGACGGACTTTTTCCTCCATAAGGATTGTGAACTGTCCCCAGGGTTCCTAAACCGGACTGAAAGAGAGAGGGAAATAAAACAAAGAATTGGCTTTCGGGAGTGACCCTGCATATTGAAGGGCCTTTTTTGTTGTGGTTTTTGCTTGGATAACCTCTGCTTTGGGAACAGGGTACAACACCAGAGGTCTCAGACAAAAGCTATCAAGACTCGCAACACTGGCAGAGTGCTTTTGTCGTCGTGTTATTAAAACTCTTTGAGGTTGATCAACTTCAAGAAGAGGCTGGCCTTGTTGTCAACGTCCACCGTCGTGCTCTTTTTGTTGCCTAAGCAAAAATGTTTCGGCGCTTTTACGAGTGAGGAACGATTCCAGGGTCTGTGCTCTCGTTGCTGTTGATGTGTGTAGCAACCTGTGCTGTACGTGTTGTCGTGTGTGTGCTGGATGGGACCCCGCTGGCTCCCTTCTGTCGAATGCCACGTGGAGCTTGAAAGTGGCCTAATACAAGACTGGAAAAGGAAACCTGCACATTTGGGAGCTGGTCCATCATTTCATCCAGTGTACCGCAAACCAGATGTTTGAAGCAATCATCATGACTCATATTCATTATTCACAGAATTGGGGGGTGGGGGGGGGGGGGGGTTATTAGATTCTTATTTTCAGAGCAGGTGTTTCATGTTAGCTGTGTTTAGGCTACTAGCCTTAGCCTTATTCTGCCCTCCGTCTCTCCTGCAGAGAGAGAGAGAGAGAGACAGAGAGGCAACCATGTAACTTTGTCTTGCCAATAAAGTTATTTTTGAATTTCATTGTGGGATGGACAAAGAGTTTGTATGATGAACTGTAGCAATACCTGACTCATTCTGGCTACTATTGTTTATTGCAATAAGATGACATTGAATAACACGTGTGTATGTGAGTAAATCATTATAAATGTAATTTAAAAATGAAAAATGCCCTTTATGGAAAATAATGTTGGTATAAACAGACACATTGTTGGAGAAAAGAAAATGTCAATAAATCATTACTCAAACCAGTGGAGAATTTTTGTCAGGGGAATTTATCTGTCTATCTTTGAATGTGGAATGACACGCTCAGTTTACTTTGGAATAGTCCGAACCTGAAACACAAGATAACCGAGATTTAAAAAGGCACAGCATGCGCAAGACATTGCTGAGCTGTTTGGTCACATATACGATGCAAGGAAACAAGTCGTGAAAAGGCAAAAGCTTTTTGATTTGGATTTTTTAGGGAAACACTGAAAAAGAGATCCTTTGAATGTACCTCAATCAAACCTGTAGATTGCTTGCACAGGATCAAAATGTGTTTCACTAACAGATATTCGATTTATTCAAGGAAAGAATGGTGGAATTGTCAAGCGGATTTGAATCATGGGCAAATGAAATTTGAGTCACTTTTTTATCGACCTCTCCTTTCAGTTTTCAGTTTTCAGGATCCTCTCTGAGAAACAGACTTCCTGTTGTCCAATGAGAAGCCGCTTTGTTCTGCAGAGTGGAAAGCTTTCATGCTCTTTCTTTTCCAGCATTCCTGACATTCATCTGAGTGCAGCTCTCAGGATCCTCACATACAATACAAGAGCTGGCCGTTAGATGGCCTTGCTGTACTGACTGTGCAACTCACTCTGTGGCTCATTTCTGTACGTACTTGAGGTCTGTTCAGTGTTTTCTGACATTTATTGATCTAAAAGAGAGAGAGAGAGAGAGAGAGAGAGAGAGAGAGAGAGAGAGAGAGAAGGAAAGAAGGGAGGGAGTTTGGGAGGGAGGAATCAAGCAAGCGTTTTTTTAACAACTTGGAAGTCAACCAGCAAGCCTGAATGGATTCTTTAACTGATGCTTGCACTATATGAAGTGATTTGAATGTGCTTACACAATAGTCATACATCGGGTCTCTCAATAAATTAGAACACCATAGAAAGTAGTTGTATTCACAAAGTTAAAATTGTATCTAAGTGAAGATCCTGCCATCGCAGGTAAGACATTCGAGAACTAATGTATAGATAGATAGATAGATAGATAGATAGATAGATAGATAGATAGATAGATAGATAGATAGATAGAAACATGGACATATAGAAACATGGACATAGTAGGATTAGTTGACCCTATGTTATGATTAGTAGTATGTGGTAGACACTGAATCCAAACTTTAAAGAAAAGTCGAGTGTTTTTTTGTTTGTTTTTTTACTTGAGCTGTAAAAGGCTGGTATTAAGGAACAGGAATTCACCAAGAATTTCCAGCATGATCTCCAAAGTCTCCTGTCCAGCGCTGTTGCGAGCCACGCATTGGTAAGTTCCTTTGTCAGCCATGCTGACGTGCTGGATCCTAAAGGGTGACGTGTCCTTGATCCCAACAGGAAGACCATTGTGAAACCAATTGACCTCTGGGCTCGGCTCCCCCTGGACCACACATGGGAGCGTGACTGTTTGTCCCACCAGGGCTTTCAGTAGCGGGGGTGCGGGCTGAATCCTGGGCTTGGCTAAGGACAAAAGAACAACCTTGACACGTGTTTTATCATATCTATCCATAATGTCAACAGTTTAGAGAGAAGTGCCGTTATCATGAATTCTATCAACATGAAAGTGCTCTCAACAAACATGTTATTGTTTCCGACTTTATCATAAAACCCCACAAAGTTACCTTGGATGTGTAAATTGTAGCTTAAGGACACATTGCCGGCTGGGTTCTCTGCAGTACACGTGTACAATTTACTATCAATGAGGCGTACATCAGTTATCTTCAGGGAGCCTGTAGATAGATATGGGTGGCCCAGTGGACGATTGGTGAGAGGTTTGCCTCACAGTGCCAAGGTGCAAGGTTCGATTCTGGTTCCGGCCTTCCCGTGTGGAATGTTGCATGTTCTACCCGTGCCTGCATGGGTTTTCTCCGGGTACTCCGATTTCCTCCCACATTCCAAAGTCATATATAAAAATTTGACTTTGTATCTTATATATACATACATAAGGAAATGGGAAATAGTGTGTTTAAAAATATGCAGAAGACTCCAGTATAAGATTGAAGAAGATGAAAATTGTGCAGTGACACCATTGTCATCGTGCTTCCAACACCAAATTGAGACTTGAGTTCTGCAAGTTCTTTCTGCTCTGATGAGTCTCCATTTTAGACGGTGTAAACAACTCAAATCAAAAATCAATCTGGAACTCGAGGCTACTTCCATCAGGATGACGGTCCATGCAGTCCATTCTTGCAAAGTGCACATCACATCTCCAACTGCTTTCCGCAACGCGATGATGACTCACTTGACTCCAACGGCCTCCACCCTCACAGTGAAATTGGACGAATTTTCCCACCAACTAGCTGAACACACACACACACACACACACACACACACACACGCACACACACACACACACACACACACACACACACGCACACACACACACACACACACACACACACACACGCACACACACACACACACACACACACACACACACGCACACACACACACACACACACACACACACACACATTCTGCCTTCCTTTTTATATAGCCCTGCTTTTTTTGTTGGTGTTGTCGGCTTTCTGTTCCTACACCCCCAACATTTGTATTTTTTTTTTTTTTTTTTACATTGGCCTAATGGGAATTCATGCTTTCCAAGGCTGGACTCTGCCTGACAACACGCGTCCACGCAAACCTGATAATCAGCTCCTCAAATGTTTCCAATCATAAAAACACTGCATAGAGTTTTTGCACAAACAGTTCTTAAAATATTAAACAGTGAAGAGAAGAGATTAAATATTTGGCATTCATAGCCTATCATGGCGCGGTAAGCAGAAACACATGGATTGTATTTTTATTTGTGGCGGCAGCATTTCATCAAGGAGCCACGAGGAGTCAAGTCGACCGCATGAGCTGCAAGCTGCCATAATTCACCATTTTAAAAGCGTTGTTCTAAATTGATTCGCTTTTACCGGAAAACCCAGTACAATGCATTCTCGCAATCCAACATGATTTGCAATCAACACGCAGCCATTCTTTGGACAGCTTGGTGTCATTGATTGTGTTACACACAATTGGACTTGACCACCCACCAGCGCTTCTTGCCTCCGGCTGCTGCCATGCCAACAAGTTAAGTGCCTGCCTTCGGTCATCCGGATCCACAAACCATAGAGCCATTTCAGATATTTCGTTGATGTTGGCTCAAGGTTTACCGAAAGCCCACGCTATAAGCTGAGATCACCAGGAGGAACCGGAGCTATTTTGTGCAACCCTGAAGTGGGATGTTTGTCTATTTGTTGTGAGAATAGTTGTGACTTAATTTCCCTGAAGAGGACAGGATATTATTGGGGGCCAGAGCTATCCTTGCCTTCGGTTGACTGCACAGACATGCATGTGTTATTCAATATTTAATGCAACCTCAGTCTGCCTGACTTCTTCTTTCATCTTACTGCACCAAACTTTCAGGGAAAGCCTTTCATTCTGTCAACTTGACTTGCCCCTGCGTCATTCTGCCCTTTCACAATGTCACCCCCTCCCCCCCATTCTTTGGACTGAAACGTGTCTTCACCAAACACTTTGCTACCCTGACGTCTGACAAACACGGGAGCAAAAGCAGTTTGCTCACACAAGCCAGGTCACATAGAAACTCACACAAGCCAGGTCACATGGAAACCGTGACACGAAATTGAAAGAGGAACGTGTACAGTGCAACTGAAAAGATTATCCCGGAGCGCAAATCTTCTGCTGGTTCCAAAGAGCATGGAGGCCTCCATCATCCGTAGATGGGGGGACATTTCAAACCAGCAGGACTCTTCCGAGAGCTGGCCGACGTCTGAACTGAGCACTCGGGGGAGAACGAGCTTTGTCAGGGAGATGACCAAGAACCCGGCGGTCACTCTGTCAAAGCTTCAGAAGTCCTCTATGGAGAGAGGAGAACCTTCAAGAAGGACACCCATCTGTGCAGCACCCACCAATCAAGCCTGTATGGTAGCATGGCTGTTGAATGACTCTCCCCGTGCACCCTGATGGAGTTTGAGAGGTGCTGCAAAGGGGAAATGGACAAAAATGTCCAGAGATAGGTGTGCCCAGCCTGTGGCATCACATTTGAAAAGACTAGAGGCTGGAATTACTCCCATCAGTGCATCAACAAATTATCGAGTAAAGGCTGTCAATGCTTATCGGCATGAAATATCTTACAGTTGTATTTCTAATAAATCTGAAAAAAAAAACGTTTTCATGTTGTCATTATGGGGTGTTGTGTGTAGAATTTTGAGGATACAAAATGAATCTATTATATTTTCTGATGAGGCTGTAACGCAATAAAATATGGGAAAAAAATGCTTTCTGGATGCACTTTTACAACTGAGCCTTTGTACCTCATAACATAATTGGGCCTCTAAAGCTACAATGACAGTCCACTTATGTTCGCAGAATGCACAAACAGTTGTATTAGCATCAAAACAGCAAGGCAAATTACATGTTCTCGCTCCATCCTCGAAGACAGCTGACTGTGGACAAATGATCTCTTCATGGACACTCCTCATAACGACCAGTTCATGGGCATGAAGTGCATACGTCTGAATTAATTTAACGGAGCCATGAGTTATGAAACGAAAATCTCTTCATGCTGATGATGTCAGAATATTTGTGTGACATCATCCAATGTTTGTGTTATGAGGATTTGCATGCTGTCGCTTGTTTGTCTCCAAGACTCGAACATGGGACAGTTTGTTTTAGCTGCTTTTAATTTTTTTTTTTTTTTTTTTTTTTTGGGGTTTAAAGGGTTAACTTGCTCTCTGCATTAAAACATCAACCCTTTATTTTTATTTTTCTGCTTTCTTGTGTTTGCATAATGCATTCTGCTTGATGACAAGATGTCCTGTTCTCTCACCGACTACAACAGCCCGCAGTTCCGGCTATTGTAAAGTGTCTATATACGGTATATGTATATCTATATCTATATATCTATATCTATATCTATATATATCTATATCTATATCTATAGATATAGATATATATATAGATATATCTATATATCTATAGATATATAGATATAGATATATATATAGATATATATATCTATAGATATATAGATATATATCTATAGATATATATATCTATCTATCTATAGATAGATAGATATATTCAAAAATATCTATATTTTACATCGATATTTTTTGCTTTTCATGACAAGCTCAAACTCTTCACTCACAAAAGTTTAACTAGGGACACCAAAGTACAATGTGTTTGCTCCAGGTGCAGATGTCCATTTAGAGGCAAGTGCTATATCGTAGAGTGACCGCTTCAGATTCCATTTGTCTTCAAATGGAATCTGACTTTCTCTTTACTTCACAGCTCTATCACCATGCTGGAGGTCTTCAGGGTAAAGATGCACCCTAGAATATTTATCACACCGTGCAATTGTAATGAATACAAGGCACCGGCATGAGGTACGAGTCACAGAACAAATTTAACTTGTTTCTCACTTTTTGTGACTTTACTTGATGATGTGGTGTGAGATTGTTTTCAATGTTAAGATATATAAAACACTACAACAATGTAAATGTAAAACACAGCTTTTAAGTGTTACATTTTAGATATTGTTGCTGTTCTTTCAGCGAAACTCTTGCTTTACCTATCCATCTACCTTCCCACCCTCACCCGAGGTCAAGAGCTGTTGGTCGTGACCGAAAGAACAAGGTCTCAAAATGAGTTGAGGGTGCCCCGGGGATGACCCAGGAAACACTGGAGAGACCGTGGGCCCCATGTTCGAGCCCTGCGCTCGTTTATAGCACTCTATGATCTAAATGTAGTCTGGCTGTGTACATGCGCAGAGTTTTCTTTCTTTTTGTACGTTCACAGAAGTGCACCGTTGTGGGTGTGAACACAGCCAACTGGCTTTCTCGCCAAGGAACATTGCTCCTCCCAAACCCTTTTAATTCAGTGCAGAAGAGTCACACAGTCTACATGGCGGAAGCAGAAACTGACTTGCTGGAGTCCAAAATCAGCAAAATGCACCAAAATCAAGAGGTGCCACTTTTTACGCGCAAGCATATGTGGTCCATTTACAAAAAGAGAGCTCGATGTCTCCCGACTAGCCTGGGAATGCCTTAGAATTCCCCCGCAAGCGCTGGATGAAGTGGATGGGGAGAGTTAAGTCATTTAAACAAAAGAATGGTTTCAGAGTTTTTTGATACATAGCACTGCCATGCACCTTAATTCAACCCAAAATTTTCCAAAAAAACAACATTTCTTTCTTCATTCTGGGCAACATAAACTTTTTCAACAATTTAAGAAAAACCACTAAAAGGAAAAGACAAAAAGAAAGAAAAGTAAGTGTAAAGCCTTCGTTAGACCTCATGTTGGAGAAATTTTGTTTCTGATCCAAATTTTAATTTCAGAGCACTGTGCATGCAACAATATTGTTTGATTATTGACATTACCGGTAGATTTTTTTTTTCAATGCCAGAATGACTTGTTCACTTAGTTTTATAGTGTTGTGGCAGCCACAGCAGTGAATACAATACAGCATAGCAACTACCTTTAGACTCAGCATGCGCGTTTGCATTGCACTTTCATCTACGACCACAGTGCTGTAGTGGCAGGAACACAAACTGAGAGCTTGTTAGGAGGTATGTGATATTATGCTTCACTGTCATAATGGAACACCATAAAGACACTTTCATTAAAAGTGAAAATTGCCTCAACTAATAGCCCAGTAAACAGCCATTGATTGCTCCTGCTATAACGAACAAGAAAACTTTGTGTTAATGTTCCCAATAAGCAATAACAGTGATCGAGAACCATCAAGCGTAATACGCTCGCAGCTAAATGGAATTGAGCCAGCATTCGTTTTATTGTTTGCATGTGTCTTTTTAGAAAGCCTTTTGCCTACTGATGCAGCAGAAGTCAGCAGATTGATGGTGCTCCGGTGCAGCGAACAAATCCCGTACGTCCAAGCAGGTAGGCGCAACCCCTGAAGCCGACAAGGGCTTATTAGTGGTGATATTGAACAAAATCTTTGCTTTGGGCTGAGATAAATATGCTGACACAAACAAATGATAGGTGTGGGTAATCACCAGGGGGGGAATCTTCAAAGGCGTTGTCAGAATCGAAGCTGGCTCACCCTAGAGGTTGCCACCTTTCAGATCTGGAAATAAGTGACACTCCTCCTCCTTTTGCTATAATAATGACAACTATCGCAAAATTAAACACTTGTGTGAACCCAAATGAAAAGACGCATACAGACAGTCAGAGGATTTGCCACAGAACAGAGGAGAACGCACCAGACATAGCCTACGCTCCCGGGTCTGCAAGCAGTCCTGCATACCTCCCGCCAATACCACGTTGCTGTCTTTAATATTCTCTCGTCTTTTCTTTTGTTCATTATTGTTAAATTCAGTGTTCACGTTGGTGTGTGACAAAAGAATGGGACAACTAGGAAAATATTGAACAAACCACAAACAAACGGGACGCAACATTTAATTCCCAATTAAAGGGTGGCATCCTGAGCTCACCCAGTGGGCCTCAATAATATTAGCTTGGGCGCTTAGCATGACTGTTGCGATGAAAATTGCTTAAATCACTGACACTGTGTTCTTGAGTCTGTTGCTCCATGTTCCTGTAGTGTCTCCCGAAAGACAAGTTTATTACCATTTTATTATCAGACTAACCATAAAGCAAAGCTTTGTGTATTGAAACAACCACATGGTTTTGCCTTAGGAAAGTTCTCTTAGCTTAATGCTAACAACATGCCAAAACGCAAAGACGGGCTAGCATGTAACATTGATGGATGATGCAACCTTATAACTCCTTAAGTCAAAGTTAGTTGAGCACAAATGGTAGAGCAACACATGTAGACACACAATTTTACAACGCAATACATAGTTATTTGTGGCTAAGGCACACACACCAGAAGGAACAGCACAATCTCAATGAAGGGGGCTGAAGCAGTTCAGCATGTCCCTTCGTTTTAATTATTGAGCATGATTTCATTGATTTTCAGCGAAATATAGTGACAGGCGGAACCATGAAATGATGTCAAAGGATACAATTAAGCTGCTTTTTCACCTGTTGGCTGTCATCCAACAGAGTCCTGGCGTCCTGCAGGTGTGTCTTAAATGATGCTTGCTTCAGACATGATGATGTAATACTGTGCAGACACATATTGTGCGATC